TGTTGTTTAAAAAGTTAAACCGGAGGGGGGGGGGGGGCATGAAAAGCAAATTGTAAGCAGATTAAACATCAGATTTTAAAATATTACAATTTTGCGTTCTGAGTTCACTTTTTAGGTTGCGGATGTTTGTATCGGGCAGTCTATTGTGTTACCTGCTATTTTCTTGTTTTGTCTTGTTAGATCAGCACCCTGGAAATCCTAAGTTTGGAGGACCAGGGAGCTCTGCTGAGCGATGATGAAATATTCGCCAGTCGCCAAACCGGGAAGCATACGTGTATGGCCCTGCGACGATACTTCGAGGCGCATTTGGCTATCAAGGTGGAGCAGGTCAAACAATCTCTGCAGCGTACAGAAGGAGGACTGCCAATACACCCCCCTCCTCCCTACAAAGTGAGTGCTGGGAAGAGGCCAGAGCCTCTGATCATGTCGTGTTTAATATAGATTTAGGATAAAGGTCCCTGTAATAGAAGAGGTATTATACCCCCCTCTCCGGTGTCCCGTGTCTCCTCCTCCCCTCTGTTCCCTGTAATAGAAGAGGTATTATACCCCCCTCTCCGGTGTCCCGTGTCTCCTCCTCCCCTCTGTTCCCTGTAATAGAAGAGGTATTATACCCCCCTCTCCGGTGTCCCGTGTCTCCTCCTCCCCTCTGTTCTCTGTAATAGAAGAGGTATTATACCCCCCTCTCCTGTGTCCCGTGTCTCCTCCTCCCCTCTGTTCTCTGTAATAGAAGAGGTATTATACCCCCCTCTCCTGTGTCCCGTGTCTCCTCCTCCCCTCTGTTCTCTGTAATAGAAGAGGTATTATACCCCCCTCTCCTGTGTCCCGTGTCTCCTCCTCCCCTCTGTTCTCTGTAATAGAAGAGGTATTATACCCCCCTCTCCCCCATGCTTGAGAATTGGTAACCTTGTTTTTCAGCTCTGATGATGGTTTTTGAGGTTTGTCATTTCTTCTGGGGTGCAATCTTACCTTTCCCCTCCCCCAGGCCTGCACATATACCCGCGAGCAAATTATCGAGATGATGGAATATCTTATAGAGTTTGGACCCTCTCAGCTGTACTGGGAGCCGGCTGAAGTGTTCCTGAAACTCTCCTGCGTCCAGCTGCTCCTGCAGCTCATCTCCATCGCCTGCAGCTGGAAGACGTATTACGCCAGGTGAGAGCAGAGGACAAGATGGCGGAGGGCAACCCAAGATCAGGCGCCTTGTTTCGTGGTTCTACTTCTCATGGTTCTACTCCACGCACACCAATCTGTATCCCTGACTGTGCAGCACAGCAGAGCCCGAGTACTTTGAAAAATAAATGTGCTTAGCATGCATCAGTGGTTCTCAACCTGTCTAGGGCCGGGACCCCCAACAGAGCGCTGGACTCGGGACTGAGTAACGCGCTGGACTCGGGACTGAGTAACGCGCTGGACTCGGGACTGAGTAACGCGCTGGACTCGGGACTGAGTAACGCGCTGGACTCGGGACTGAGTAACGCGCTGGACTCGGGACTGAGTAACGCGCTGGACTCGGGACTGAGTAACGCGCTGGACTCGGGACTGAGTAACGCGCTGGACTCGGGACTGAGTAACGCGCTGGACTCGGGACTGAGTAACGCGCTGGACTCGGGACTGAGTAACGCGCTGGACTCGGGACTGAGTAACGCGCTGGACTCGGGACTGAGTAACGCGCTGGACTCGGGACTGAGTAACGCGCTGGACTCGGGACTGAGTAACGCGCTGGACTCGGGACTGAGTAACGCGCTGGACTCGGGACTGAGTAACGCGCTGGACTCGGGACTGAGTAACGCGCTGGACTCGGGACTGAGTAACGCGCTGGACTCGGGACTGAGTAACGCGCTGGACTCGGGACTGAGTAACGCGCTGGACTCGGGACTGAGTAACGCGCTGGACTCGGGACTGAGTAACGCGCTGGACTCGGGACTGAGTAACGCGCTGGACTCGGGACTGAGTAACGCGCTGGACTCGGGACTGAGTAACGCGCTGGACTCGGGACTGAGTAACGCGCTGGACTCGGGACTGAGTAACGCGCTGGACTCGGGACTGAGTAACGCGCTGGACTCGGGACTGAGTAACGCGCTGGACTCGGGACTGAGTAACGCGCTGGACTCGGGACTGAGTAACGCGCTGGACTCGGGACTGAGTAACGCGCTGGACTCGGGACTGAGTAACGCGCTGGACTCGGGACTGAGTAACGCGCTGGACTCGGGACTGAGTAACGCGCTGGACTCGGGACTGAGTAACGCGCTGGACTCGGGACTGAGTAACGCGCTGGACTCGGGACTGAGTAACGCGCTGGACTCGGGACTGAGTAACGCGCTGGACTCGGGACTGAGTAACGCGCTGGACTCGGGACTGAGTAACGCGCTGGACTCGGGACTGAGTAACGCGCTGGACTCGGGACTGAGTAACGCGCTGGACTCGGGACTGAGTAACGCGCTGGACTCGGGACTGAGTAACGCGCTGGACTCGGGACTGAGTAACGCGCTGGACTCGGGACTGAGTAACGCGCTGGACTCGGGACTGAGTAACGCGCTGGACTCGGGACTGAGTAACGCGCTGGACTCGGGACTGAGTAACGCGCTGGACTCGGGACTGAGTAACGCGCTGGACTCGGGACTGAGTAACGCGCTGGACTCGGGACTGACTAAGGCGCTGGACTCGGGACTGAGTAAGAAGGCGCTGGCCACTAGATGTCGCTGCAGAGGCCAGGGGGTGTATGTACAGCGGCACTTTTATATTCACAGCCGTTGCTGTCCTGCTGACTGCCACTCCTGTGCTAGGAGGAGCCTGAGGAGGCTCTCACCCAGCGCAGCAGAAATGGACGTGGGGACCCCCCTTAACAAAGGGTTGCGACCCACAGGTTGAGAACCGCTGGCATACATCTTCCAGCAATGTACACCGGGCAGAGTATGGAGGGTTGGAGATCTTCCTGAACAACATGGGAGAGATCAGAGATCACTAGGGTGCAGCGCCAATGTACAGTGCAGGGGGTCAGATATCCTCCCCCGGCCCCCCTCCTTCCAGTAGGTGACGTACCCCACCCGCCCCATTGGTAGAGTCTGGTTTAGTTTTTAACTTCCCCGTGTCAGCGCGCAGAGATGAGCAGATCTCCATCAAGCGCTCTCCAGTCTTCGGACCCGATGTCTTTCCTCCCGTTCCTGTGGCAGAATGGTTTTAGGGGATTTTACACTAACCCCCATACCCCAGATGTTCAGCCGGGACGCTGGCGGGAGAATGCAGATATGTTCTATTAACTTTCATTGCGAGAATATAAAAGCATTAAAAACAAAACAGTCACTTAGGTAAGATGTGTGCATTGTGAGGGAGCACTGTAGTAGTGTTATTATTACATAGTATTTATAGAGCGCCAACAGTGTGCGCAGCGCTGTACAGTACAAGGAAGACATTACAATCACAATACAGTTCAAGACGAGATGGTGAGGAGGGCCCCGCCCCCGAGTATTCAGCCAGAACTGTTCTTGTTTTGCATTGTCGGTGTCCCCATGAAGGACTTTGTCGGTGTCCCCACTCTTCCTGTTAGATCCTTTTCCTGTGTGGTTTCTGTGCCGCGGGAGTCCACGCTCCGCTCTACCCAAAACCAGGAAAAATGATTCTTCGCTCCGCTTCTGTTACACTTGTGCCGGTTTAAATCCACCAATTCGTCTTCTTGCAGAAACGACACCATTCGCTACGCTCTGGACGTTCTCGCCATCCTCACCGTGGTGCCAAAGATTCAGCTCCAGTTGTCGGAATCGGTTGACGTTCTGGATGAGGCCGCCTCCACCGTCTCTACTGTCGGTAAGTGACGGGACATCCTCATTCTCTCCTTCAGCTTCCGCTGATGTCAGGAGCACATGATGCAACATCCTTGCTGGCCGGGGGAAGGGCATAATAATGTATATCTGCACCTTACACATTAAAGGACAACTATGGAGTCAGTGTTTTCCCCATAGTTCTCCTTAGGGTGACGGGAGGACACAAACTAGCGTCCTCCCGTCACCCGAGGCTCAGTATATAGGGAGCTACAGCTCGCGGTATACTGAGACCGCCGCAGCCGGAGCGGATCCCGACTTAGATGTCTGGATCCGCCCAGCTGCGTGAGTGACAGCTGGCTCTGCCTATCTAGAGGCAGCTGTACCCGCCCCGTCCGTTTGCCAGTCAGCTCTGGAGGATCGGAGGGGGGAATCAAGCCCCTCCCCCTGTCACGGCAGAGAGCCGTGACAGGATCGAGAAGTGAGCGAACACCTGCATGTGTTCCATCACCTCCCGATCTACTGAGCCGACCTGTCACAGTCTCATTGTCACACGTCGGCTAGAACTATGAGGTGAGTGAAAAGCCCCTCCCCCCCCCTCATAGTTCTCCATTAATGAAAGCGAAGGTCTCATTGTACTACATCTGCAAATGTGTGGAAAGCACGAGATGTATTTTTTTTTTTTGGAAGGTGGACCTGAATGCAAAAAGTGAGGATTTTAGGGAACATCTAGAAATGTTAATTGTGGCT